AAAAAAAACAAAACAGAAATCATCAAAATCAAAGAAATTAAAATTAACCAATGAAGTTCTAGGTTATGGTCGTAATGGTTATGTATACAAATCATTTTATGATAATAAAATATGTGCAGCAAAAATTTACGACATAACAAAAAAAAATAAAGAAATGATAAAACGATTAAAACATGAAAATCAATTAAACATACATTTAAAATCATTACAAGGTATTATTATTCCAAATCGAATTACATCTGGATATTTAAAAACTTTAAACTGGTTTTATATTATATGTTATGAATTTAGTGGAAAATCAAAAGAATTCGACAAGTACACATATGATGAAAAACAAATGGCATTACATGCACTACGTCAATTACATTTAAATAATGTTTTACATAACGATTTACGCTGGGAAAATTTTCTTGTCAATTATGATGATAATAATGATAAACATAATCATATTATGCTATGTGATCTTGAAGATGCGGTGATTCTTAATGAAAATGATATGAGAAAAAAGAACTTATTTCAAAAAGAAGAAAATAAATTAAAAAAATTATTAAGTTATACAAAATAACAATATGAAATGATATTTTGCTATTATTTACACTAATGGTTATTATTTAAAAAAAAAATCAAGATATAAATTTTATTTGAATTAATAGGAAAAAAAAAACATCTTTACTACAAATGTAAAAATATTTTTCATATATAGTGTTGAAACATCACTTTCATGAAGTTTTTTTTTATTATGTAAAAGCAAACCTTGTCATTTTTGTTCTATTCTTGAAATTATATTCTTTCTTTGTACATATTTTTGACAATAAAATTAGTAAAGGAGTATGGTCATTAACATTTTTCATGACATCTCTATGATGAAAATAATATAGAGAGGATAAGTTCAAAACTTTTTGTCATGATACAACAAGAAGTATTCTTTTTATACATTAGTAACATATTGAGTGCAAACAAAAACAAATTGCTAAAGCGAAAGAAGAAAATAATGAACAATAAAATTATCAGTCTGAATGGATATAACTTATTCGATAGATTCACAATCCTAGATAAAACTTATTCCGATTGGTTCCTGTAGAAACTTGTTGTCAATCTTTGCCATTGAATATTAATGAAAATTGATAATTTTTTCGATAATATTGAAGAGTCGAATCTTTTATCTTGAGATTGTTCATTCTGAAATGAGCATATTCTTTGATCACAATACGATATTTATTTAAGGGTACGCTCCTCTTTTTTGACCATTTCTGAATCTCAAAGACGGTATAGGCAATCGAATTGAAATTCTTATCACAAGTAGAATACCTAAAATGATGAGATACGTATTTGAGGAAAAAATTCTCCAAGACAATTTTCATGATTTTTTTATTTTTATGAAAAATCTTGATTTTCCATAGGTTCTCACCTTGCGACCGACAACCCCTTTCTAACGCTGTCCGATTGAGCTGAAAATTCTTTTGGAGATAACTACGACTATATCTTAGAGATAGTTTTGAGCTTTTTCAAAAATCTCACTTTATTTTTCTTTTATCAAAAAAAAAATACGTAAAGATTTTTTCCAGAACCAGATTTTCGACGTTTAAAACCCTACAAATTCGGATGGAAACATCAAAAATTAAAATGGCCGACTCTACCTTTAGAGGATATTTCGAAGTATCTATGGTAAAAATTTCAGCTCGATCAGAAAAAGTTAGCGGGGACATTGTCAATGCCACAATTGGATACTTCGCATAAAAAACTGATTTTGAGAAAAACGTAAAACAAGTTGGTCATAGGAAGTTATCCAAACACGCTACCCGAAGAAATATGGTTCACTTCATATAGAAAAAATCGACCAATCAGAATCGAGTCCACAATTTACCTCAACCTATATACTTCTCTCGTTTCCTGTGTACATCTTGAAACAAACAGTGTGCCACTATTAAGTCATTATTAATTAATTAGTATTCATCTTGATTACTACTAATTATATGAGTACTTAACTAATTAGCACTAATTAGTCTAGTACTAATTACAGTAAGCACTCTCCTGTATTCCAGAGGTACCTTTAGGTCCTCAAGTCCTATATTCTAGAGGTACCTTTGGGTCCTCAAGTCCTATATTCTAGAGGTACCCTTAGGTCCCCAAGTCCTATATTCTAGAGGTACCTTTAGGTCCTCAGGTCCTATATTCTAGAGGTACCCTTGGGTCCTCAAGTCCTACTATTGGGGGTACCTTTGGGTCCTCAACTTCTATTATTGGGAGGTACTCTTGGGTCCGCAAGTCCTACTATTGGAGGGTACCCTTGGGTCCTCAAGTTCTATT